TGCTTATTTCTTAAGAGGCAGTAATTTTCTATCTCAGAGGCCTGAGGTAGTGAGTATGGTGATGATCCCCAACAGTACCACATGGATGAAGGAGCCTTCAGAGGTCAGAAGAGGTGTCAGATTCTCTAGAATTGTAATTAAAGACAGTTTGTTAGCTGCCATGTGAGTGCTGGGAAGAGAACCCCAGTCTCTGTAAGAACAAATGTTTTTTAACTGATAAGCCACCTCTCCAGCCCCTACAACACTATTTTTAGCACCACAGAATGATTCATTTTCACATAAAGAAGAACATGTGCCAGAAAAAGAGCTGGGTGTCCTAGGACCTTTAGTCCTAGGAGTCCGGAGGCAGAGGTAGGCATATTTCTGTGAGTTCAGGTCTAGCCTGATCTACATACTGAGTTACAGAAGAGACAGAGCTACATAGAGAGACCCTGTATCCAAAAAGAGGAAGGAAGGAAGGAAGGAAGGAAGGAAGGAAGGAAGGAAGGAAGGAAAAAGAGCCATGATGGTATGCCTGTAATCCCAACACAACAGACGCAGGGACAGGAGTAATTTGAATTCAAGGCTTAATTGGGGCTATTAAATACTGAGAACCTGTCCAAATCTGACTATTCCCAAAATGCAAATTTCAAAAAAATATAAAAAAATCTAGGTATGAGGCTGGAGAGACAGCTCAGCAGTTAGGAGCATTTGCTACTTTTGTAGAGGAACTGGTGTAAGGAGTACAGTTACTGGCTTCAGTTCCAGTATCCACACGATGTCTCACAACTGTAACACCAATTCCAAGAGATCAGATATCCTCTTCTAGCCTCCAAGGGCACCAGACATGCACATGATACACATACACACATGAAGGTAAAACACTCACACACATAAATAAATCCTGGGAGAGAAAAAAAGCCTAGTTATGCTAGTCATGGAGACATGCTCCTTTAATTCCAGCATTCTGGAGGAAGAGGAAGGCAGATTTCTATGTGTTTGAGGCCAACCTGGTCTACAAAGCAAGTTTCAGGTCACTCAGGAGAGTATAAGTTGTAAAAATGGTTGATGAGACTCTGATTAAAGAAAAAAAAATTCTTGTATTATCTGGGATCATAGGACATAGTGAATCAGGAGCTTAGATTAGCGATGACTGAGGTAAATGTAAGAACAGTCAACCTACAGGCTGTTGCAAAAGTCTTTAAGACTAGTGAGAAGTGGCTTAGAAAAAAGGAGCTCAGGAAAGGCCCCTCTTGGAACTCCCAGAGTTTCACCTCCCTCTACTACTAGGATTAAAGGTTTGTGCCACCATGCCCAGCTTATTTTATTGCTTTTGAGATCAGGTCTCACTGTAGGCCAGGTTGGCACTAAACTCACACTTGTCCAGCCTCAGGCTTAGTGACAAGTGACTTTATCCTCTGAACCATTTTACTGGCCCTCACCTAGTATTTTTATTGAACCTTTTCTGTGTAGATACACAAATATTTTTCATTTTATGAAAACTACTTATAGTATTTGTTATATAACATGCTATATATTGGTATAGCCCAGGAGTAACAGATATGTAGTAGGCTACACAATCTAGGATTATATAAAAACATTCCATAATGGTCATATGACAAATTACCTAACTGTATTTCTTACCCATCATTATGTAATGCACATGTTCTATATATTTATTCTTATGGTGAAATAAGCACTAAAGATAAGCATAGTTGATGATTAGTTTGTTTTTTTTTTTTTTTTTTTTTTTTTTTTTGCTTGTTTGTTTTTTGGTTTTTCGACACAGGGTTTCTCTCTTGCTTTGGAGCCTGTCCTGGCACTTACTCTATAGGCCAGGCTAGCCTTGAACTCACAGAGATCTGCCTGTCTCTGCCTCCCAAGTGCTGGGATTAAAGGCATGTATAGCCACAGCCTGGTCTATGATGATTAGGTTTTTTTTTTTTTTTTTTAAGACAGGGTTTCCCCATATTGCTTTGGAGACTGCCCTGTAGACCAGGCTGGCTTTGAACTCACAGAGATCACCTGCCTCTGCCTCCTGACTGTAGGACTAAAGGCATGTGCCACCAACACTCAGCCAATGATGATTAGTTTTAACCTGACATATACATCACTTGGGAAGATTCTCAATGGCTAGGTCAGGTTGGCCTGTGAGAGATTATCTTGCGTTAACTGAGATGGGAAAAACCACTCATTCTTGATGGCATCATTCCCTGGATTTAGGTCCTGGACTGTGTACTGTGTAGAGGGGGCTGAACACAAGTAGACATTCTTGTACTCATCTCTTTCTGCTCCTGACTGTAGCTGTGATGAGCTACTCAAGAGTTCCTGCCTTGGCTTCCTCATAATGATGTCCTATAATCCAGACTGATGAGCCAAACCAACACTTTCTTTTCCAAGTGGACTTTTGTCTGCGTGTTTATCTCTACATCAGAAGGGAAACTAGTGCAACATATAAATGTGTAAAATCAGAATACAAAATGAGAATATACAATTAGGCACTGAAGAAAATTACACCCCAAAGCCTCCGGAATAATTATGTTCTAATGTACTGATGGAGAAGTGGGGGAGCACCACAAATAACTCCCACGTTCCTAGTAGTCTGAGTATCTCTGAGTATCTGGAGGAATGGGAACACCCATGAAAGTATGAGCATGTGAGGGTAAAACTAACAATTTCTGTTTGGACCACATTTGAAATGTCTATTAGACATTCAAGAGGAGATATATGCTAGAGTTGAATATAAAACTATGTATCCAAATAATAATAATAATAATAGAACAATGGCTCAGTTGTCAAGAGCACTGACTCTTCTTCTAGAGGACCCAGGTTCAATTCCTAGCACCTGCACAGTGACTAGTTCCAGTTCCAGGACCTCTTGTGGTCTCTGCATGTGGTGTATAAATGTACATCAAGCAAAATACTCTTACTAATAAAAATAAATAATCTTTAAGAAATAAAACGTTGTCAGGTATAGTGGCCCTTGAGGTTAATCCCAGCACTGGGAGGCAGAAGCAGGCAGATCTCTGTGAGTTAGAGGCCAGCCTGGTCTACATAATGACTTCAAGGACAGGTAGTGGTACATAGGGAGACTAGTCACAAAAAACTAATTAAAAATATTTAAAATGTTGTAAAATATTTTTAAATTAATAATACAAGTAAACATATTTAAATTAATAATTATAATATACAAGTAAACATAAAAATAAATCTTAAGTTCAATGTAGAATTGTGGGGATGTGACAGCTAGTACTAACCTGATGGCACTGTGTTATTGCCCGCTCTATCCCAGTCAATTGGTGACACTTCTCCCAGAGTGCTCTGACCTGTGTAATAATGTATACATAGCTACCCTGTGATAGCCAAATAAATTTAATATGGTACCAGCCATCCCTTATGGCCCTTTATCTTCTCTTTCTGCTTTTGTAAACTCCATATTTGATGTGGGGCTGGGATGAAGCGTTCTTTTTATTAGTATACAATGGGAAAGAGGAACGATTGAGGGTTGTTAATTTTCTTGCTCAGCTGTGGATTACATAAGTAATTGTAATGTACACCTTTGATATCCACCTTTATAAACACTTCCTTTAGCCCCTTCTGCTCATCCTTCTGCTAGTAGCAAGAATAAACTTCTTTAATCTAAATTTGAATTGAGTGTAAGTCTTTGGTCTTTCCCAGTAGATTTGAACACCACAACAGAATATTTAGCTAAGCGGCCAATGAGATAGCCCAGCAGATGCAACTGCTTTCACCAAGCCTGATGACCTGAATTCAATCCTAGAAGCCCACTGGTGGAAGGAGAGACCAATGCCTGAAAGCTGTTTTTTGACCTCCACACAAGTGGCATGGCACATACAGGACTGCCTTCACACACACACTACATACGGTAGCCAGGTTGTGGTGGCACACGCCTTTAATCCCAGCACTCAGGAGGCAGAGGCAGGTGGAAATTTGTGTCAGAAGCCTGGTCTACAAAGCGAGTTCCAGGATACCCAGGGCTATTATTTAGAGAAATCCTATCTCGAAAAACAAAAGATAGAAAGAGTTAGCACCAAATAAATGTTATTTATATTGAAACTGTGAAACTGTAAATGCCCATGGAATAAACTGAAAGAAAGGCAAGATGTACTGTTTATGTATTTCGATGGTACAACCACTAAAGATAATGAAATGGAGCAAAAGTTTTAAGCAATGAAAGTGGATATTTATGCCAGGGCATCGGTGGTGCATGCCTTTAATCCCAGCACTCAGGAGGCAGAGGCAAGCTGATCTCTGTGAGTTCAAGGCCAACCTGGTCTTCTACAAAGCTACACAGAGAGAACCTGTCTCGAAAAACCAAAAAAAAAAAAAAAAAAAAAAAAAAAAAGGAAGGAAGGGGATATTCCCAACCCTTCATCACTAAACTTGGCAACCTAGAAGTCAAGGTGGCTTTGGTAGAGCTGTTTCTCTGGAATGACAGGGCTTGCCTGGAGAAATCTAAACAGAGAATGCAGAGAATGGTGGGGGAAGATACTAATGAGTAGAAGCTGATGTCTGCCCTAGGATGCATGTATGAGCTGACAGGAGGGTGGATGAAGTTACTCTTAAATTACTCTGTTGTGTAAATGGACTCCTCTAGGGAATGTGTGGCTCCAGTCTGTAATCTCAGCACTTAGGGCTGGGGCAGGGTGATTTCGAGCTCAAGGCCAGGCTGAGCGAGACCGTCTCAAAAACCAAAAAGCTTTTGCACAAGTAGCAAAAAGTGCAGGTGTCTGGAGCTCACTCTCAGGCCAAGTACCTCACCAGATGCTGTCCCAAGGTAAGCCAGCTCCAGCGGCTTCCCACCTCGCCAGGGACGCAGGGCGCACGCGCAGGCCCAAGGAGCCGGGGCGCAGGCACCCACAGCCCCGCCCCCTTCCCCGTCTAGGGCGCTTGCGCGTCTCCTCCGAAGCCGCCTGAGCGAGCCGGGCGCCGGGCAGGAACGCTGGCCCTTCGTTCCCGCGCTGCTTGGAAGTGCTTTGCCATGGTCCCGTCCCACCTACCGAGTCTGGGGCGAAAAAGCACGTCGCGCTGGTAACTGCGATGGTGGGAACAGGAGAGTCGCTGGAACGCCTCCTCACAGGATAGTATCGCACTTGTGTTCGAAGGTTCGCGGGACGTCAAGAACCACACACGCTGTTTCTCTTATGAGCGCGGTCGAGCGCGGAGGACTTCTTTGCGCATGTCCGATACTTCTCTGTGACGTGCTGCATTGCACCCTGGGAAACGTAGTTTTTACTTTGACACCTGTTCCCTAATCTATTTAACCATGACTTAATAAATCAGAGTGCTGGTTTGTTTTTCTGTGTCTTTATATACTACCCCGAAAACTTTCGTATAAATAAAACGAACCAAAAAGCATGTATGGAGCCTTGCCTAGCATGTGGGAGGTGATGGAACCGGAAAAAAACAAAACCATCAGATTGTTGGGAAGTTCTCATATGCCTCTGTCTTTAAGCTAAATTTTGTTGTGATTCTAAAATTTATCCAAAAATGTTTTAAAATTATAAGCAAGCAGTTTTGGGTTCAGAAGTCACATTATTACAGAATCTTCCCAGGAAATAAAAGATGTGGTCATGCAAACATTTTGCTACAAAGCTATTCCTTGGAAGCCTATCTCATGGTTTCACCCCTCAGAAGTGCACCGGCCCCAAGTATCTCTCGTAGTATTTTATACATAACTCCTAAAAAGCCAAGACGGTTTGGTGGTTAAAAGCACTTGCTGCTCCATCTCGAGGACCAGAATTAGAATTCCAACACCCACTTCAGGTGACTCACACCTGCCTGTAACTCCAGTTCCAAGGGATTTGATGCCCTCTTAGGACCTCCAAGAACATTGCACCTGTATACACACACACACACACACACACACACACACACACACACACACACACACACGTTTTTGAGCAGGGTTTCTCTGTATATTCCTGGCTGTCCTGAAACTCACTTTGTAGACCAGGTTGTCCTCAAACTCAGAGATCAACCTGCACCTGCCTCCTGAGTGCCACTGCCTGGCAAAAAACTGTTTGTTTTGTTTTGTGCTATGGACTGTGTGGCAACCACTGTTGCTTGACAGAGTTTTGTCATTTCAACATTGCACATCACAACTTTGCAGCACCTTTTGACTTTCTGTGATTGTTTTAAAATGTTCATCGATTCTTTGCCTACATATATGTCTGTGTGAGGCTGTCAGATCCCCCAGAACTGGAGTTACAGACAGTGGTGAGCTGCCATGTGGGTCCTGGGAATTGAACCTTGGTTCTTTGGAAGATCAGCCAGTGCTCTTTACCCCTGAGCCGTATCTCCAACCCATTTACTTTCATTTTTAATGATTGTCACTATGGGTTATGGGAGTTTCCTTATGCCTGTTCCTTTAGGAAATTTTGTGTGAGCTTTAATGAAGGAAAAAAAAATCCCTGTCACCATGGAATTATAACGCATGGTAACTCTGCCTACTTCCCACACAAGACTCCCCATTATGCACCCCCTGGTTACACCAAGAATAAAGAAGCTAACGATTCATTAACTGGGCATACCTAGTACCAGAAATGAAAAACACACTATTGAAAGAAACAGTGGGCACAGATCCAGAGCCTGAGGCCATTTAGGGCAAGGGTTCAGTAAGTAAGTATAGAATAGTGCCCACTATTAGTGACTTACTGGGTGTATGGCAAGATCAGGTATGCCCCATGGAGAAAAGATTCTGTTAAGAAGTTAGACTGGCTTAATCGCCCTCTGCCATATACAGGAGCACACACTGAAGGAGTCAGAATGGTATGGTATACAGGGAGAAGGGGAAAATGTCAGAACCCTCCCCTTTGAGAGCTTATGAGGGAAACAGGCCCATATAAGGCTAAGGCCCAAAGGAATACAAGGAGTAAACAGCACAATGCTTGTTGTACTACATAGTACAATTGCTGCATCATGTCCCTTGAGGAATGAAAACTGCTCTTATCAGTTTTTTTTCTCAAGACTCAGTGTCTGGCACCTCCTGACCACAAAGGTTGAGACCACACAGGAAGAAGTGTAAAAGGGCACCTGGTGAGGTTACTGAACCTTAGAGGACAAAAGGCATTTAGATTCTTGCTAAACTAACTTGTTTCTGCTTCACAAAAAAAAAAAAAAAAAAAAAAAAAAAAGGATGCTGAATGCTGTAATGGTGTTGATGACCACCTTCACCCTGGAATCATTGTTTGTTTTCAATATTGATTGTGCTCAAACTATAATGCAATTATAGAGTATATAAGGTGTAGCCGGTTTTCAGTAAACAGGCAGCTACCCTGATTCACCCTCAGACCCTGTCCATCTCCTTCCCTTGCCAACTCCACACCTCCTCTTTGGGACCTGCTGGAGCTGGACTCTGGCAGTTTTGTTTTGTTTTTCAAGACAGGGTTTCTCTGTGTAACAATCCTGGCTGTCCTGGAACTCACTCTGTAGACCAAAAGGCTGGCCTTGAACTCAAAGAAATAGGTCTGGCTCTGCCTCCAGAGTAAAAGTCCTGGGATTAAACTTGTGCGCCACCAACCACCTGGAAATAAGCCTTTTAAAGTCTATAATTACATATTGTTATTCTCTGAAAAAATTTCAGACTCTAAAGTCAAGATTGTTAGTTTCGTTCATTTGGGAATCCCCAGGATGCAGCACTGTGCCTGGCACACAGTAAGCTATCAGATTTTTTTCTATTAAGGAACATTAAACTTCAACACTGGAACTGTTCCAGTCTCCAGACTAACAAAGAAAATTCAGAAAAATGATGTGGCTGGGGAGATTCCCAGCAATTAAGAATGTACTGCTTTTGCAAAGAAGCCAAGTTCAGCTTCCAGTGTCCACATTGGTGGCTTACAACGGCCTGTAATTCCAACTCCAAAGGCATATGATACTCCTGTCCTCCCCTGGCATCTGTGCACATACCCACACAGAGGCACATAATTTTTCAAGTTTAAAAAAAGAATACCTTCTTTCACTGGACCTAGGTCTAGTCAGGTGTTCTAGTCAGCTTTAACCATCAACTTGACACAGGCTGGAGTCACTTGAGAAGGCAGCCTTAACTGAGGAATTTCCCAGACAGACATCGCTGGTAGCCATGTCTATGGGAAATTGTCTTGATTGCTAATCTATGTAGGAGGGTCCAACCCATTAGAGGAGTCACCATTCCCTGAGAAGGTGATCTTGGCCAATATAAGAAAGCTAATTAACAGCATTTAGATGGCAGAGACAGGTAGATGTCTATGAGTTAGAAACTAACCAGACTAGAGAGTGAAACCTTGTCTCAAAAACAAAAGCACAAAGAAGTCAGGCAATGGTGGCTCACACCTTTAATCCCAGCACTCTGGAGGCAGAAGCAGGTGGATCTCTGTGAGTTTGAGGTCAGCCTGCTGTGCAGAGTGAGTTCCAGGCAAGCCATGACAAAGAAAACCTGTCTCAAAAAAAAAAAAAAAAAAAAAAAAAAAAAAAAGAAGGCCTGTCACTTTGAAGGGCTAAATAAACCCTTTCCTCCTGCAGTTGCTTTTGGTTACAATGTTTTATCACAACAACAGAAGTCAAACTAGAACACTAGGCATGGTAGTACACTCCTATAATCCGACTTCTCTGGAGGCAGAGGCAGAAGGATCTCCTACAACTTAAAGGCTTGCCTGGTTTACACAGTGAGTTTAGGCTAGCTATGGTTACATAACAAGACCCTGTCTCAAAAACCAGGGTCAGAAAATGCTCAGTGATTAGAAGACCAATTCTTGTGCTGGACCTAGGTTCCATTCCCAGCAACCACATGTTGGCTCACAGTCATCCATAGGAACAATTCCAGGGAATCAGATGCCCTCTGCTGACCTCTGTAGGAACGGTGCACACACCCAATACGCATGCACACATGCAGGCAAAATACTCATACACAAAATGAATCTTAAAAAACATTAAAAACACAAATAAGAAAACTACCTTCCATTTCCTTTTTAAGCGATTTGTTTTTATTTTATATATATGATTGTTTTGTCTGCATATATGTATGTACACCAGGTGTATGTCTAGTATTCAAGGAGACCAGAAGAGGGTATCAGATCCTCTAGAACTAGAGTTGTAGGCAGTCCTCAGCTACTTCATGGGTGCTGGGAACTGAACTGGGGTCCTTTGCAAGAACAAGTGCTCTTAAGTGCTGAGCCATCTCTCCAGCACCAACCTTGCATTTCTCATCACTACTCAATGAATGACGCTACTACGCATCTTGTCTCAGTTATATATCTTTAATTTTGGAAAAACTATAATATGAAGAATTTCACAGCCCAGCATGGCGGGGTGGGGGTTGGGGGGAGCACAGGCAGAAGACTATGTCAGTTTGAGGCTAACCTTGTCATACAGGGAACTTCAGGACATGTGGGACTACACAGAAAAACAGGATACATTGTCTCGAACAAACAAAAGAGTTCCACAGTTTCTACTGTTCCACTTTTGTTGTTGTTTTAGGCAATGTTTCACTATGTAGCCTTGACTGGCCTGAAACTTGATCTGTAGACCAGGCTGGCCTCAAACTCACAGAGATCCTCCTGCCTCTGCCCTCTTTGGTTTTTAGAGGCAGGTGTGGCTTTCTCTTGAGTTCGATGCAGCTGACTCCCAAGTGCTGAGATTACAAATTTATGGTACCAGGATCCGATATAAATTTTCATTTGTCAAGGCCACAGCAACTATCTCTCCTAAAGTCAAATGTGAACCACAGTTGCTCATCATAAGACATACAGGGCTCACAATTATAGTCTTCATTACTGCTCCTGTTGCTGTGGTTTAAAAAAAAAAAAAAAAAAAACCAAAAACCCTTTAAGAGGAAATGTAGGGATGAAAGATGTAGAAGGATTTTTCTTTCATCCACCAGCCCACAAAAAGTAACACAGAGACTTATTATTAATTATGAAAGCTCAGCTTTACTTAGGCTTGTTTCTAATTAACTCTTACAACTTAAATTAACCCTTTTATTAATCTGCATGCTGCCATGTGGCTCTTTGCTTTTACCCCCCTTCCTGCATATCTTGATTCTTCTCTATCTCCTCTGGTGTCTTACCCGCCTAGATTCATCTAGGGATCTTTTCTCTCTGCCCAGAAGCCCCACCTAGCCTCTCCCTGCCTAAGTATCAACCATTCAGCTCTTTTTTAAACAAATCAGAAGGCATTTTGGCAAAGACTTATCTTCACAGTGTACAAA